GGGGGGGGGGGGGGGGGGGGGGGCGGGGGGACTTCAAGGTCACTTCCACTGAAATCAGTTGAACTGGCCAGTAGGCGAGAAAATGCAAAGAGAAGGCAGCGTTGTATCATGCCACTAGCGCGCAAACTCGACATGACGGAAATTAGGAGGAGTTTCTTATTTCCCGCGTTACGGAGTAAATATGTAGCAGTGAGAATAGTTAAATTTTGACTACTCACTTAACCCGTGTAGAACAGTTATTGTAATATAGAAAGAAAAAAAACACGACGCCGGAGATTCGCTGAAGAAAAAAGCATAAAATAATATTGAGGGTTGATTTGAAGAAGGCCCTATTTAGCAGTTTACAAAAGAGGAGTCACGGCCGAGCGGAAAGTGCTCCACACTCAGTCCCGGGCTTAGCGCTCGTCTTTGTCTTCATCCTTAGCGCTCGGCTAAATAGGGAGCTTTTAAAAAGCAACGACGACGGCGACGTCATGAGAATGGCAATCAAAACATCACGCTTTTTTGTACATTTTACGTTTGAGGGAAACAGTTATTGCTTGACAATCGTATGAAGTTATCAGCTTGTTTTCTTTCTTGTCTCCTCTCAAATCCACAGACTGCGGCAGCGTTGCAGAGGAACACTCGCCCCAGTACTCACGATTCACCGCTCCCTGTTTACGGTCAAGAAACCGTAAGACTAATTCCATTGTCTCACTATCGTGCTGGTAAGGTTTCCTTTTCCTTTTGTCCACTCCTGTCCAAACTACAACAAAATTCTACAATTGAATAAACGCCCTGAAAGATTCAGGCACTAATATGACTTCCGGCGCTTGAAGTTCGTATTTTCCCTGTCGAAAAATAGGCAAATCCCAGTTCCCTTTTTTTGCCTTCCAAGGCTTTCTTACTGCTAAATGTTTGCGTTTTTATTGACCCAGACGAGAGAGGAAGGGTTATTTCATGGTCAAAAGAGTTTTGTTTTTCAAGCGGGACAACCGCGGGAAATCACGAGCTAGTCAGGATAGGATTCGGTTTATTTTGCCTGCTCGCGAATTCAGTCGTATTAAAGAAAGCCTTATAAAATAAAAAAGGGCAAAAAGGCACCTTTTTTCTCGTCTGTAATCATTACTTTTCCAACTGTTTATTTCCTCGTGTTTTGTTTCGGCAAAGTATGTAATATTACATCGTGAAAAGAGGGTTTGTAACATTGGAAAAGGACGAAATTTACTGTAGTTTATGACTTCGTCGCTTTCGCTGTATCATCATGTTACTTGTGGAATTCTAATTCCTTCTGTTGTCCCCTTTAGCGGAAGTTCCTATTTCTGTGGCGCATGGATTCAGTGAAGACACATCACTGTTCAGCACCCACCGTCACAGCGCCCCATCCACCATCTTTACCCCTGGAAGGTCCTTGGGTAGCGAACCATATCCTGGTGGTTCTGGTATGTCTACCTACACACATCCGCCTGAAATGCAGGAATTTTGTTCCCCTTATGGAACGCTGAGAAGACCACTGCATGGATTACAACCACAAACTACAATTCCATCGGCGTTTAATCTTAGTGGTTTGGGTGTGTCTACAATCACTCACCCGCTAAGAATCCAAGAAGCGCCAAGACCGTCACTCCATGGATTGCAACACCAAAGTACGATTCCAGACGTTCCGAATCTTGGTGGTTATGGTTTATCAACTGACACCCTCCAACCACAAATCCCAGAATTGCGTGCTTCGTATGGAACGCCTAGTCCGTCACTACATGAATTGCAACCGCACCATACATTTGCAGACGCTTCTTATCTTAGTGGTTGTGGCCTGTCAACAATCACCCACCTACCAGGTATCTCCGGGCGTTCTTCATCGTTTGGAACAAAAAGACCGCCACAGTATGAACTGCAACCACAAAGTGTAATTCCAGGCGATCCTCATCTTAGTGATCCTGCTACGTCTTCAGTCACACACCCGTCAGTAATCCGTTTTCCCTCATATGGAACCCTAAGACCCCAACTGTATGGACCGCAGCTGCCAAGTGTAATTCCAGGCTATCCGCATCTTGGTGATCCTGCTGCGTCTTCAGTCACACAGCCGTCAGTAATCCCATTTCCCTCGTATGGAACCCTAAGACCCCAACTGTATGGACCCCAGCTGCCAAGTGTAATTCCAGGCGATCCGCATCGTAGCGTTCCCTTTGCGTCTTCCGTCACACACCGGCCAGTAATTCCCGGACGTTTTCCTCTGTATGGAGCGCTGAGATTACATCCGCCTAGTTCCCAAAGTACAATTTCATTTATGAGCGGGCAGGAGCAAAATGCGGACGATGAAACTGATAGGTCTTAAGCAACATTCCCAGTGTATACCTTTTAGGACAGTGTTAAATTGTATAAATTTCAAAGCTATGCCGCATTACAATAGATTTGTAGTGTGGTTATCACTGTAAATAAATTTTAACTGTAAGACACGAAGATATGTGTAATTCTGCTGTGCAATGCGGCAGCAAAAAAGCACAATCCTTTGGCGTGGATGAATCAACAATAGAATATCTAGCTAAAATGACGACGGCGATCTCCCCGAGCTTTTCTGAGGGAAGGGGCGTCTGCACACGGGCTACGTCCCTTGTGGCACGGGGCGAGGAGAATCAACCATACGACCTTGTACATAAATTCATTACAATCTGTATATAAATTCTCTTTTTCACTGTATTTTAAATATCTGGTGTACTTTATTTTTGGAAATAATTGAGTAAACGTTTTGGACACAGACAAAGAAACTCTAATTTTCCCGTGTTATTTGTACCGTTTTTTTTTCCTAACTGTTTTCAACGCTTTAGGATCATTTCCTTGAAGTGGCCGTAAGTAAAGGAGAATTGGCTGCATCTTAGGCTATCGAAAAACCCAGCTGTTTGAAAATAATGCTGTCTTAATTGGAAATGCACTTTACCTGTCCAGACAAAATAGGAGATTTTGGACAACAATGACATTATGTTCCCACACAGGATAAGAATGCTTTGCTTCCGCTTGGAGCTACTTAGCCTTTTGTTAACATATACAAAACTTGTTGTAAGTTAAACTGGTCATTTTTTTCTTTCAGGATAATTATGTCATCTTACTTAATGCGATGAGCAGGGCTATTACTTCCAGTCTTGAACATCGCCAGCGTTAAACGAATGAACCATGGGCTGAACAGTGGTTAACAAAGTATCTCATTGGAGAAGGGTACTTTATTACAGTGGCTAATCCAGACCTTCAGATAAGGGGGGGGGGGGGGCATCCAGACTCTGAGATGAGGGGGGGCCTGGTCTCCAAAAAATATATTTTTTCGGCCCTTTAGGCCACATTTTGGTCAAAATATAAGGGGAGGGTCCG